ATTTTCCCCCTCCCCTCTGTTGCTAGGTGAAACATTCACACAAGCAGCAACTGGGAGGACTGACTAAAGCCTTGATCCTGCAAAGGCTTATATACCTGAGTACCTTAACGCCTATGAGATTCCCATTAAGTTCAATGGGACTAACTACCCACATAAGTCTTTTCATAGCTCAGCCCCTACAGACTGATTATACAGGGAAAACACTGAAACTGACTACACAAAGCATTGTCACATGCTCAAAGTACACTGAAGAAGAAGATAGGGGAAATATTTTTTGCTCTTTAGTTTGAGTATTCTTAGGTAAAAATTTTACAGAAGGAAGGGTGATAAAGTTGATGATTCACATTAACTTTAAAAAAAAATCCCCCTTCTTATGCAAAGTCCTCTTGGTACATCCTGATTCTGTGAAATAATCTCCAGCACATAAATTACTGTGCAGATATAGAATTTCGGCCAGGTCTATGTTACTTATCCTGCACAAAGGGTATCTAGTAAAATTAGAATGGGAGGCCCACAAACTCAGAACTTGTCTAGTAGACACCTTCTCTAGCAGCAGTTTGAACTGGGCGGGCAAAAGTTCAGTCTGGCACAGATCTGGGAGATGCCTTGACCCTGGGCTGAAGAAATGGAGTTTTGCCTTCTAAATCTTTTTATATTTAGGAGCTGCTCCAACTGTTAGCATGTCTGGTTAATCCTGTGATCTGGCTCTCTGGGGCCTTCCAAGAAGGGTCTGGAAAGAAAAGAACAACCAGGGCCCCTCTAAGTCTGAGGTAATATCGCATTACAATTGCAGCGCTGCTCCACAGCTCAGCAGTGACCAGGAACAGCCCTCACCCACCAAATGCACATAATACAAACTTTTAATTAAAATGATGAAGAGAAACAGTAAGCAAATGGAAAAAAAGCAAATGCATTGGTATAAAATGCCTTGTTGGTGCAGGAATTACTGTCAGTGAGTCTAAGAAGATCATGGTTATGAGATTTCCTGAAGGTTTTGACCAAGGTTTTCAAAAATGATTAGTGATTTTGGGTGCCTCAGTATTTAGATGTCCAGTTTAGTCTTTGACAACCAGCCCCCAAATCCAAATTAATGTTAATATTGGGGCACTAGTAATGAAGAAGGTAACTTGTATTTAGATTATAAAATCTTTGGGGCAGCGACTGCCTTTTCATTCTGTGTATATACAGTGCCTAGCACAATGGGGCCCCAATCCCCTGTTGGTGCTTCTCGGCGCTAACTAACTGCAATACAAATAGGAAACAACAATGGCAACAACTTAAAAATTATAACATCGGAGCCCCACACCTGATCCTCAGAGCAAGTCTGGCAAAGGTATCACCATGAATAGTCACTTGGATTTTAGGAGACGTTCTGTTATGAACTGGGTGAAACCTTGTTATGGGTTGAATTAAAACTTCATTGAGATTGAGTATGAATGCACCCTTCAATTAATGTAAATCTCAGGATGAGTTAATGAGAAGCCCCCACTGAAGACAAAAGAGGATTGTGAACCTGCCCAGGAGTTTGGACTGCATGGGCAAAGGGCTTTTGCTGAGTATTGTTTGGAGGGCGGGGGTGTAAGCAGAACACACAGAAACTGAGAACACACAGAAATGGAGAACAGACAAGGGCCGAGAGAGAAGCAGAGGCAAAAAAACAAATAAACAAAAAAAAGGCAAGAAATCCCAGACTAGCCTGTGAGCACTGTTCCCCTGGAAAAAACTAGGGAGAGAGCTTTTGGGTCTGGCATGGCGTTGGCTAAAGAGGTTTGGGGCTGCAAACCAAGAAACTGCTCCTCTCCGTTCTTGGTTCCTTCTGCATTTGAGAAGCAAAACTTTGTACTGTGCATTCCTTGTAAATAAACAAGATTGCATCAAATAAAATACCAGACTCCATCAATTTCTACTTCCAACTGGAACATCACCAGAGCTCCAAAATTTGACTAGCTGCCAGGGCCGGCTCCAGGCACCAGCTTAACAAGCAGGTGCTTGGGGCGGCCAAGGGAGAGGGGCGGCACCTGCGGCAATTCGGGGGCGGCAGGTCCCTCACTCCCTCTAGGACCTGCTGCTGAACTGCCACCGCCGATCGCGGCTTTTTTTTTTTTTTTTTTT